CATGGTCAACACTGAGGTTTGTATCCATCAGTTGCCGATGTAACCTTCACTTTCAGAAGATCGCCATTTCCATTCGCACCCTGTTTTGCTATGACAATTAATAAGGCCCAATGACAAACTGTCTGTCACTGGTGTACACTTAGAGTAGCAGTGCTTCTCATACGGCCAAGTTTATGTAGCCTGCTCTTTAGTCGGCAGGCGTGATGATGTGTTTCTTTATTCAACCTCACAAAAAACTGAAAATGTGTTCTACACTGAAGTCCTCAGCCAGTCCTCAGCAAACTCCATTCCATTTGTCCTTTCAATTTAAGAAAATTCAGGTCCCTGCCAAATCAGACATATTGAATGCTGGATTTGTGGTTTTGAATAGAGATATAGCTGAACAGAAACAATTCAAATCTTGAGATATCTATTCGTATGCAACCAATCGCTGAATGCAAAAAAGGGACGCATCTTTTGCCGAAAAGATGGCGCTGCCGCTTCCACAACCAGCATCACAATGCGTAGGCAGTTAGATGTTGTTGAAATGTAATCGAGTAAAGTTTCTCCTCGAGAAGATTCCTCAGTTTGACCACTCAAATCGAAGAGTAATAGGTCTTTTCAGTTCTACAGTGGTGTGTGCAGCTGAAGCATGCATTATACACCATACCCAACTCTCTCAAAATGCCCAAACGCTAAAATGAGTACTGATTTGCGTGGACGCGCTAGACTTCTCTGACAAACGAATCTCTTCAGTTTTTGCAATACGATTGGTTAGAATTTTGCAAGATGTGATTAACGACCAGTTTGGGTTTTCCTCAATAGGAATTTAAAGCAGTCAATTGTTGAAATCCACATTGCAATCTGAGATGTTAAATTTTCTATTGCAACCAATAAATTAGCATGCATGTAGAATAGCATTTGCAGTAAGTACGGATGTGAAAGTTCAGGGACCTCAATTTTCTTGCATGGAAAGGAAAAATAGAATGGAGTTTGCGTATCACTGGCTGAGGACTTCAGTGTTAACCACATTTTTAACTTTTTGCGAGGGTGAATAAAGGAACACATCCTTTTGACTGCCGACTCAAGAGCAGGCTACCTAAAGTTGGCCGTGTGAGAAGCACTGCTCCTCTAAGTGTACACCAGTGACAGAAAGAGTTTGTCCTTGGGCCTTATTAATTGCCATAGCAAAACAGGGTGCGACTGGTCGACATCTGATTGGTAAAAATGCATCCTGGGTATAAGCAATTGCTTCCCTTTACTGCAGACAGTTATAATTTTGGCCTCAATAATGTTTAGGTGTAGGGCCTGAGTAACCCTCCTGGTCCCATTACAGAGTTTCGTTGGACGCAGGTTTCTAAGCAACATAACCGTGATCCCCACTTTAAGTTCCAGAATGTGAGGAGGGAGACCAGCGGCGTGGAGGCTGTTTAAGAACTCCACTGGAAAGTTCGCCATTTCAGCGGGGTCTGGAGTTCTGTCAATGGATTTGTAAACGTGCAACACCCCTGGCACAGTTTCCAGAAGGCGTCAATTAAGGGTTGTCAGAGTGGTGTTTCGGGGGGCAAGAATTACCCGCCCAGCAAGCCACTCAATATTGTAGATGGTTTGAATATCAGGAAAAACTGATTCCCTGATTGTTGCTGGCGTTGTGACCCATGTAGACAACCCTTGGACGTTTACAAATCCATTAGTGTCCGCTGGAATAATACCTTCGCCAAGGGATAATAATAGATTCGAAAATTCGGCGGACCCAACATCGCCAGTTAGGTGTGCTCGCATGTTGGTGGTAAGGTGCAATGGTCTAACAGTGGGCCAAAGTTGTGACGATTTCAAGCACGCTCGAATAGCGTCGGCCATTGTCCCCTTAGGTACAACGGGGTGGGTCTGGCGAAAGTCACCGGATAGGAGGACAGTTATACCTCTCATAAGGTCATCGGAGTTTCGAATATCCTTCAGAGAGCGGTTTACAGCCTCGAATGCAGTTTTGGAACTGACAGTGCACTCAGGCCCTGAGCTTGCATTGCCTGAGTACCTCCGCTAGACCTGATTGCTTGGCTATACTGCATACAGCTGTTTCTCTCTTAATCCGGCCAAGCGGAAGTTTAAACGTTGAGTGCATTGTTCGGCCACAAGGTAGTAATGTGGCAGCAATGCCTTAAGACGCTACTGCAAGAACCGCTTCGTAAGTTTTGGCTCATTTGTTGTGACATAGGCGTTGAGCTCCTCAATAGAGTAGGATGTCTCCCGCACAATATCAGGTGAGAGACTGCAGGAAACCTCACGATCTGGCGTTGGATGCCCAATAGCATCGAGATCCCCCCCCTATTTGAACAAACATATTCTCAATGATTTTAAGCGCCCTGTTGCGAATTTCATCGTTGAATGTAAGAGCCATTGTTGGACACAGCATTTGCGCTTCTCTGAGTATGTCTTCGGATAAAAGTCCTTGTATTTGTCCCAAAGTGATTTGGGATCACTGTGTTCGCACATTTGTAAGATTGTGGTGAAGAGGTGGCACAAAGCAGAGGGCATTTTTAAAAGTGCTCCCTCAGCCATTGTAGCATCCCACTGGCTGTCGTCTTCAAAAGGCCGATACGGAGGCAGGCCTCAAGAAGTGTCACATAAAAATCCATTAGCCGCCCGTAAGTTATTGTAGCTCTTTGGACCATTAACTTCGTGCAAAATGAGTCGCAAGTAAAAACATTCCTGCCGCGATGGGGGAACCATGAATATCCTTCCGAGTGTGATAGCCTTCGATGTTGGCCCAGCACTTCCGCCGAGCCCAGGTGTTCTTTTTTGTCCACACGTAGTATGAAGGCACGTCTGGGTACAGTAAGGTCTTAGGAAACTCGTCCTGTCGACAAAGTTTGCAGAACGCTGTAAGCGTTCAGTCTTCGGTAAACGCAGCCACATCCATTGCTGTATCCGCAGAAAAATAAGGAAGTTCTTCGTTTTCTAGGTGCACAGCAAGGTGGACGATTTCTGTGAAGCGTTAGTGGATGGGGAAGCTGAATATGTGCCAAGGGCCCTCTATACAGCTAATGACGCGCCCTGCAAGGAAGTCCTGGATTTTCTCTACGGAACCTTCCTGCCTAATACCAAACACTGCATCAGTCCCTTTGTTGATGTACTTGCATACATACTTGATGGAGCGAACTGAATGGCAATATTCGACATTGATGTGCGCATTGAACGCTTTTGTTAGCAGGGGACAGTATGGCATTACCCATCTGTTATCCACATGGTGGCCGTTTACCACGACAGAAAATCCTCTCTCAGCGGGACTCATTCGCCGGTACAGTGGATAACCATCGCTCCCAGTAATGGTTCCGCTCACGAAATCTCGTGGGTACTGCCGGGTGCATTTGCCGTCGCTGTTTTGACAGCTGGTGTAATTGTAATGCGACCCGTAGGGACCATGAATCATGTTGGTTGTCTCTATTTCGTACAATTCAGGGTCAGCCGACGGATCAGGAATTTCAGCAGAAATAAGTTGATCGATTACTGTGGCCTAAATCTTGTCGCACAGCCAAATTAGTATATGTGCGTGAGGCAGGCCGCGTTTCTGCCACTCAATAGTGTGCAAACAGCCCCCAAAACCTGGCCCTTTGTAATCACATCCATTAGCTTTCCCAAATTCAGATGTTAAACGCGCGCAATGTGGTCTGGACGGTCGTAGGCCGATTGCCCTGGCATAAGTTCTTTAGCAATTGCGTACCATTTTGGGTTACACGTGAAAGTTATGAATAGGCCTGGTTGGCCGTACTTACGAACGTATGTCATCGCCTCTTGCGTCCTCGCGTGCATGTATCGTGGACTGCCTGTGGACGTTGCAGGTAGTATGCACATCTTGCCTATATTGCGTGGATCAGCGTCATTTCGTAAAGCATCACGGAGGTGAATGTAACAGTCGCAGCGCAACTTGGTCTGATTCAATCTGATGTAACAGAGACTTTCGGATTCCATCTTAGCAGCCATGTCTACGATGAATTGATGGAAAAGTTCCCTGCTTCGATGAAGATGATTAAATGCAACCTCATATACCATCAATAGGTAGGCGTAGAAAGCCCTGCATGACACTGTTTTTAAGGTGGGCCCATTTTGCAGAATGCCAAATTTGTACCCATCTTCTCCGTAATGGAAGAGAAGTGGGTATTGCAGTGCATCGTAGGACCGGTGCGTTTCATGGATTCTTCGGATCCCACCCTCGCGCGATTCGATAACAATGTCACGTTTGTTGTGCCGATCACCGATGACAATGACAGAAAGTTCGTTACTTGCGGGAGCATCGTAACGACGTTCGTGCTCTCCCTGAGGCCGTTTGTCAGCATCAATTACAATAATGAAATCAGAAGGAGTGTTATTTTCGAGAGCATACTTAAAACTGCGGACATAGATATTTGTCTCATGGAGCATTTGTTGGAGACTCATTATGATATCCCTGCGAGGATGATTGTGCTGGCCTGTATCGTTCTCGGGAATAATGCCTATGCGGGCATCTCCCTGTTGATTGTAGTCAGCTATGATATATATTTGTAGAAAGGCCGAATCAGTGGCAGTTTCCGGCAAAAGATACCAAATCCGGTGGTAAACCTGACCTTGAATCTTGAAGGGGGGATTCCAACGAACTTCGCGGAAGGCATTACCACCAAATTAGGTCATCTGGAAGGCACAATTGTACTGTCTGATTCTTGCGACGAAATGTTTGGAGTCTGGACTGGAACCTTCCAACAGAGATTTCAGCGGAGCAGGTAGCTCTTGAAAAGGTGGCAAGTGTACCTTACCGTCTGAACAACACAAACCTGCAGACTCTCCAGGCCATTTTTTGGCATTGCAATGCCCACAGTCAACTGACATGGATCCTACTTGGAGATCTTTGCGACTGGAAAGCCTCAAAACTGGGTCATAGTTGAACGCCAGCTTAAACCAAAACTGATTTGGTGGGCTACAGAGCCCCCACTGTGCATGGCGGCGCTTGTTAACATTCTGCAACCTTTCAATCCTTTCAGTAGGTCCTTCTACAGCTCTAGCAGCGGAAGTTGAAATTGCATCGCGTTGCCGCCTCGTGCGCTTTGGCGCGGAAGTTTCCGACGCCCTGGCAGTAGAAGTTGCAGCGGCGTCGGCTGCATGGCGTGCGATTTTCTAAGCCATGGATTCCTGTGACCGTCGAATGGACGTTGCCACAGCTTTCGTGCATTACGTGCGGTTTTATGACCTGTGGTCTCCTGGGACCGTCGAATGGAATTTGCAGCGGCGTAGGCTGCATTGCGAGCAGCTTTTCGATCCGGGCTCTGTCGAGACCGCAAAAGCGCTTGTGATGAAGCCGCTCTTTTGTTGTCTTGCAAGCGTTTAGGTAGTTTCCTCTTTCTTTTCAATGAATATGTGTAAACTGATTTGCAGTACAAACGGTAGTTACGCTCACTAAGCGTTTCATGTGACAAAACATACTGCCTCCGTTGAGATTGACTGGAAACCCTGAAAGAGGCCTCTGCCTCGGTTTACTCCCCCCCCCGCTTTCTCTTTGTTGCACAGGCACTTTTAGAACGCCTGCTAAGGATGCCTCGCCATGGTATTTTGGCACGCTTAGCAAAGCTGCCGGGTCGGTAATCGCCACGCCACGCCACGCCACGCCACGCCAGCCGCTTCTCCTCCAAGGAGGCACACTCAATGGAACCCTGCTTCCGTTTCCCCTTAGCCGGTGAGGCTCTTTTTGACCTCCTGCTAAGGTTGCATCGCCTGGGTGTTTTTGCAGCCTTTGCAGTCCTGCTGGGTTGGCCATCGCCACGGCAAGCAGAAGAGTGCAAAGCAGAGTTTGAAGAAGACGCTATATGATCATCTGTAACCGGAGTTATTTTGTCCTCTTCCACAGTCGCCTGTTCAAGATGTGTAACTTTAACGGTATTAGGGGTCTTCAGTTCGTCGTTTAGGTGCCATTAGGAGGATTGTAGAAATTCTGTGCAAGAATGCGAATAGAAGTTGATACCGAACCTGAAGCGGTGCAACCTCGTTGTATACGAAAACTAAAAATGCAGTGGAGCGGTATAGAAAAAGCTTTTCCTAGATATAGGCTGTGCTTTCTGGCAGCACGAAAACGTCGCTGTAGGAAGAGGTTACGAAACCAAAACGTTGAATCATTGAAGGTTAAAAACTATTGAAACACTGAGGTGTACTGGGCCACGTAATAAAGGCAGAAGAGAAGTAACTTGCGACAGGAGTTAACTGTCTAATAGCACAACTGAATTACGTAAAGGTAGAAATAGGTATGGAACACTAAGATGGACTGGGCTGCGCAGTAAACGCAGCATGCGGAGATAAAATGGGTAATGCAAACGTTTAAGCAAATAGGCTGTGAAGTACTGAGGTGTACTGGGCCGCATAGTAAAGGCAGTAGACTTCAACTTACAGTGAAAGGTGTAACGTAGAAGTAAAATAGGTTGGGGAAACGATTGAGTAAATAACTAACTTGCGACAGCAGTTAAATGTTTAATAGCAAAACTGAACTACGAAAAGGTAGAAATAGGTATGGAACGCTAAGATTAACTGGGCTGCGCAGTAGAGGCAGCACGCGGAGATAAAATTGGTAATGCAAACGTTTAAACAAATTGGTAACTTGCGGTAGCAGGAAGCTGTCAATTAATCCAAGGACAGATACGTTAATGGCGATCAAATCAAGACGTGAGTGCGGATGCAGCCGCGTTGAAGGTATTTAAAAGGAGCGTGACTTTTCATTGATTGTCATGACTTAGACCAATGAATGAGCTCACGTAAAATGGAAGATGTTAGCGCGCAATCACGCACGCGCGCATGATTTGGCAAGCGCAAGACGTGGCGGTAAACGGGGTCAAGCTGCAGCTTGGCTCTAACGCACGTGATGCCGGCGATGAAAATGCAAGGAGCTGCAATGAAGCATTTGCTCGTTTCGTTTGTGCAACAACGAAAAGCCGCTAACCGTTTGCCGGCATTACCTTTGAAATGGATTGCGAGGAAGCCCTTATGTTTTAGCCCCAAAACTACTCGCCAGGTCTGGGATGCGGCCTGGACTAGGGGAGGATGTTTAAACAATTAGAAAATGGACTGCTGATGGCGGAACCTTGTTCACTCAGCATGTATGTGAGTTTTTATCATTAGAGATGCGAATAAATCAAGTACTTATTTTGGTAAGATGCGACGATTAAAGCAAAAGTGTTGACAAAGTCGAATATGTCATTTGTGGCTCAAAGTCAGACCTGGTAGCAGGAATAAAAAAGCCGAATTTTAATGGCCCTGCACCCATTCCAGAATTTGAGGTCAAATGTTTTCTTCCACTCCACTGCATGCACTGACCTGCTTCTTCCCGCGCATAGCGTGGCCTTAATCTGCATTTAGGAAAAAGCCAACCGGAAAAACATTTTTAAGTGTTCACCGATTGTCGATTTGCACTATGTTTGGGGGGGCGCTCAGAGTTGAAACTTCACATGATGACTACCAATGGCCTCCTCATAAATCCGGTCGGTTTTCGCTAAAAGCCGACATACAATTCAGGCGCAATCTGGGCGTATTGGTTTCTGGATTTTATCGATTTTCCGCCCTGTTTAGGGGTCCGTACTCATGAAACTTCTGGACAACACTTGTAATGGTAGACTCTAAGAAGGTGTCAAATTTGGTTGAAATGCGATCATTCCTTCTGTAAGCAGATTTTTTCGATTATCGATTTTTTTCGGAACCTGAATCCGAACTCAAAAATCGGGCTCCGCCATGTCCTTACGGCAGCCATTTGCAAACTTGTGGTGAAAACCGCATCGAAATCGGGTGCGAAATGCGGCCTGTGCGAATTAACAACGCCTACGACAGACACACAGACAGATAACATGAGAAATATAGATAGTAGACGTCCATTCTCGCAACAGAGAGTCGTGCTTGAATATTGAGGAGATTTGGTGTCATTTAATCTTCAGTATTCTTCACCAGTTACTATTGTCTTAGAACATACAATGAGATAATAATAATAATAATAGTAATAATAATAATAATAATAATAATAATAATAATAAAAAGAAAAGATGCGATGATAATTTTTGAGCCTCATCAATTCTGATTCTAATTCATTACAGATGATAATATGTACATGATTTTTTTTTCTTGGGTAACAATGATTGGATAGAGTAAGTACCTCTTTCAGTAACTCAGATCTGCTTGTTATTTGTCCGACTTTTACTAAATGGACATGTCCTCTCCAAGATGACGCACCATGTACCACTAGTTATAACCCGGACTAGTGACAGTACATTATAGCCAAATATCGAAAAAGTGGTTATTTAGTTTGAAGGAAGTTTTAGACGTGTGAGTAACCTGTATACACTTGGGAAAACATTCAATTGGTGACATTCTCTCTGGAAAGGGTGAATTTATCTATTTTTTAGGACCGCGCCTACAAGATTATTTTTTGCTCTGACTAAATCCTATCACCATATTGCAGCCATTTACCTTAATGAATGTGCTTTGCATGCGTTATATGATTAGTTATCTTGGTGGGTATATTGGAATTTGTATATTTGTACCCCAGCGTTACATCGTTGGCATTCGACTCTCCCAAATAATAATAATAATAATAATAATAATAATAATAATAATAATAATAATAATAGATTCTAGCTTTAAAAATATAGAGTTTATTTCCATAAAATTACCAAGCTAATATCGCTAAAGATGTTTCCGATCCAACATGCAGATGTCGTCATCTATGTGATGACAGATTGGGTCTACAGGTTTAGGAAGTTGCTTCTATCACTTATCTTCTGTTTTAATCATGTATTTATAGAGATTTTCCATTGAAATTTCAGACTTATTTTATCATACATGATTTTGTATTCTAGCGGGTCCACCAACTTACATCTTGCAAATAAGTGATCTATAATTTCTGGAGCGCTACAGCGGTATTTATCAAAAATGGTGTATGTTGGGATTAAATGAGATTCATATAGAAATCTGGACGATTGATTGAAAAAAATACTGTTCCATTATAGTATCTAGAATCACGGAACAATGACAAGCGACTATATTTTTAAATATCTATGGTGAAATATTTTATCAGTATAATGAAATGCTACGTCCTCTTTCAGTGATCAGGTAAACATTTAATTTGGTGTCAATAATCATTTCTTCGAAACGTTTCTGCATATACTCCAGTTTAGAAATATACTTTTTGTTCATTCCAGATTTCACTTGACAAAAATTAAATACCTAGCAATAATGCAAATATATACAGCTTATTTCTTTGCCGTAAAAGAACAAATTGTATACAAAGATTGAATGATAAGGTTACCCGTAGAACTAACTGAATACTAGGCTGTTTTTTGCTGATTGATTTGTTATTTTGCTAACGATTTATCGACCCTATCTGGCTTATTTACAGCCAAAACATATTTTGTATTGCTAGCATAATTTGTTTTATTTTAATAATGTATATTGCATTTACAATAATATGAGAATAACAATGATATTTCCATATACATGATCAACTACATAAACTATTAACTGAGGTGAAGGGATTCATACTTCTCCCCAAATGATATTTGCGCGTAAATGAATGTAATGACTCAAACTAATATTCAAATACGGCTCTCTCTGATTTCTCATTTCGTTTCATTCTCAATTAGTTCACCTGCACGTCCGAATATAATGAAATTTGGTGAATATGATATCAACAACTATATTCGGATATTATTTGCCTTATCTTAATTAAATATTTCGAATAATATTTATATTAAGGTAATTCTATAAATCAATATGTTTTCCTCTTGATTTATACCTGTATATTTATGACAGATTCGGGAAAAATATTGAAGAATAATTTATTAATTATCACATAGTTTTGTAAGCAAGCAGATATTCATTTTTATTTTAATGTACAACATGCAAACATGAATGTAAAAATTTACCTTTTTTTTCAATGATAATCAGCTTAACATTTAAAGTGCTCGCTGTAACCTCTTAAAAATATGTAATTAAGTTGCATATACCTCTATCTATAAAAGGCAGCATCTGTGTGTGTGTGTGTGTGTGTGTGTGTGTGTGTGTGTGTGTGTGTGTGTGTGTGTGTGTGTGTGTGTGACGAATGCACAGCCGCAATTCTCGACGGATTTGAGGCAAAATTTACATGCACATGCTCCAAGTTAGCGGGAAGGCCAAGACTGATTTTGCATTTCCCAACTCCCATCAATAGTGGAAATAATCGATGATTTCATGCTTCTACGACAGTTTTCATGTAGTTTGCGGCTATTTTGTACTGGCCAGAGTGAGAGCCAATAGCTGGCTGCCACAAATAGGCAGGAAGATTCTATTGGCCAGCGTGAGAGCCAAAAGCTGACCGACAGGATCGTTAACTAGCATGTTAGCATGCAAAAAATATCGATAGATGCATTCATCACAAATGGATAAAATTTAAATCTGCATGGCACTTTACTCCAATTGGCTCATTCGCTTGCTTAAACTCAACGTTGATTCTGATTCCGCAGAACTGGGTTGGGTGTGAAAAAGTATTTGTTGTTAACATTCTTTTTTCATTCGGTTTTTCCAGTTACGAGTCCTTTATTTTAAAGCTGATCGTATTGTGTTTATTTTGTTTAGTTCTTTTTTCGTAAGAGATGTAATGCTTAGTATAGAGCTTAGAACATATTCGCAGTGTGAGATAGGCTAGAAGTAAGGCATGTAGCAACATCAGCACGACAAAGGTCATTCCTTTAAAGGCAAGGAAGGGCAAAAATATTTTAAGTCTAGTGATAGCGATTGCTGTATGAGTTGTACGATTTTTGAATCAAGCACGGGCAACGCTGGGCCATGCTGCTAGTTGAAAATAATTATGGGAATAATCATTCAGTTTTTGCAAACGTAATTT